AAGACTAGGTTAACAGGAGTTATTCCAAGATGGCGAGATTAAAGCGAAAGTGGAGGCTGGGCCATTGCTAGACTGTGTTTTCATATCAGGTGATTTTCGTCAAATATCACATCAGGTGTCAGTGATTCGCCTGCCCTTAGTTCGCACTGCTAGTTAAAACTGTGCTGTCTATCAGCAACCTGCCAGCAGATTCATCAGAACTAAACACTCCTGTAGCCAGCAGATACATTTCATTGACAGTGGGAAGCCTGCATAGTTGTTTCTTTTATTAGTATATATTCAGCACAACATAACTTGAGCACATTTGCAGCAGAACCTCAGAGACCCACTTCGGGTTTTGTGGCAACAAGGGTATTTCTCCCCTTTGCTCCAGACTTTATTCATTTCATACAGGAGCCAGACAGCCTTGATGTACCCGCCTACAGACAAAAATCCTGGCAAGATATCCCAGTGAATGAAGAAATATAATCAAAGCTGTGTTTTCTGGTGGATTTGCAGAAATCTGTTTTCATCAAAACTCTTTTTGAAAGCTTCACCAGAGAATAGCAGAGAGAGTATTAAAGAAAGTGAAGAAAAGTAGTCTAAATAAATACAGATCAGGAAGTCATGCCAGATTATAAGACACAGAAAAAAAAGACCCATACCTGTCACCTAACAGCTACTGGTACCTTTAGAGTGACTGCACATCTTTTATTATTACACATTTACTCTCTTGATAGCCTGTGCCTGGCAACAGGTTGGAGACGGTCCTGGTCAGGTTGTGGCGATGATCACACACTGTGTGCAAAGAGCTGAGTCAGTGGATGTGGATGGCAATCAAGAGTGGGAAATATGCTTTGTGAGAGCATACTGGCTTTGAACTGGTGAATACAAAGAGCTGCAAACTGTATGTGTGTGATTTTTCATGAGTGCAGCATGTGACTCCAGCAGAACCCCCCCCCCGAACTCACAGCAAGGGAACAGATGGTAAAACTTTTATTAGAATTACAAACAGGATTCAAAAAAAGTGAGAAATATTGGCAAGAACAAGAGAATGTCTTTAGATGTAACAAATACTGCATTAATAGCCACTAATTTTACAACTCAACCATCCCTTCCTCCCTCTCCAGTGCACATCTGGCCAAAGTGCTGCAGTGACCTCGTTTCTTTCTGATGAAAGACAGAATGTCAATGTTCTCAGAAGACACAGCAAGCCTACTAATTTATCACTAACATGAAATCAACCAGAAATAGCTCCCAAACACTCTCACTCTCACTTTGCCAAGAGGCTTTCAGAGTTAAGGTGGGGGGGGAACAATATGTGAGGTAGTTAAGGAAGAGACTGTCCTCCTGTTAAATACTATTTAGACACAATGCATTAAAGTGCACCTGAAGCCTCAGATTTCCCCTCTCAGGGATGAAAGACAAGGCACAGCACATTGTTGTACAAGGCACAAGATAAGCACAGGAGTCAAGTAAAACAAGTAGGTGTGTTTTTGTTCAAATAAGAAACTGTATTTTGACTATGAGCACAGAGTAAACCCTGGGCTTACAGCAGTGGCAAGGTGAACAACAGTCAGAGACACTTTCTCAGAGTGATCCAGATTCAAGCATCGTGCTGGCCAGCACATGCTCACTGGATGCATTTGTAGGTCAACTAGCAGTCAATGATCAAATAGGAAGTCAGGTAACCAAAGGGGCAAAATAGGTCTCTTTTAATGGGGATCATTGAAGGATCACTTTACTTTTAATAGAGCTGCAATGATAAGGATGCTATGATCTCAATATCATCTACTGCTAAAACCAACTTCATTACACACACACACACACACACACACACACACAAAAGTGCAGCTCCTGTGACAATGGCATTTAGGTCTGATGCTTTTTTGGCTTCTAGCATTCTGAAAGATAAGGCAGCAGTGGAGTGTTTCAACAGCTGAACTCCCTGGTTATCAAACTATAGCAGCTATATATCATACTGTTCTTGTTCCAACTCCTGACCAAAACCTTAGTCTATTACCCTGGTTCTCCACCTTGTGCTCCAGCCACGTTCACATTCACCCCTCTCTATGCCATACTCCTTGATATTTTTTCTATATCCATTTCTGCCAAGCACACATTACCTACTCCCATGTTCATTATTCTTCTCTGATTGGGGCTGTCATTGCTGAAGAGAAAGCGAAGAGGACACACGGAGTCCATATCACACTCAGCTGGGCCCATGGGCGAAGAATAGCTAACTGCTGACGTAGCTTATTGTTGCTAAGCCATAGCTATGGGGTGTGTGGGTGTGTGTGTGTGTGTGTGCCTTTGTATTACTTACATTATGGGGACCAAAACCTATTAACACACACACACACACATTGAATTGTAGGGTGGCAACATGGTGTGAGGTTAGGGTGAGGTTAAGTGTTAGGTATTAGGGTTAGGGTTAAGCAAGTAGTGATTATGGTTAAGGCTAGGATTAGTCTACAGGAAATGAATGTAAGTCAATGTAAAGTCCCCACAAGGAATGAAAACGGGGGGGCGCAAGAGAACAGAGGCTGGCTGAATGGATACAGCTGTGTTCAGCTGAGCCTGATCAGAGGCAAGTTGATTGGTAACCTGCCCTCCACTATATAGCGCAGAAGAATGAACGTGAGTAAAGGAGCATGTTCATATGTAGCAGAAATTACCCCCTGCAGCTACACTGGACTAATAGTGTGTGTAAAAAGTGACAGAAAGGGAATATGAGAAAGGGAGGTGTCAGCATTAATCTTATAAACACTGATGAAAATATTAAACATGGTATTTTAAAGAGATAAAAGGAACAGGAATGAAGGAGAAGGAGGGAGGAGATGCAGGTGATGAAGACATCTAAGCTGGCACTAAGTGAATACTTGAAAGATAAAACACATGTGTATGACTGCACATGATACAAGAAATGCCAGGCTGACAGTTTCAATAAGAGAATAACCACACATATTTCTAGTGGTATCTTACTTTGTACACTGTACTGCGTGCATAAAGTTTTTAAATGTCAGGCAAAGTTTTGAGATGTCAGCCTCCACCCCAGCACAGTGGGGGTAAATATATATTTTGTGGTGCGCACTGGATCAAACAATTGAACAAAAATCAGTAGCAAGCTCTTGTTTTTTCAGAGACAGAATCTCCACTACCTTGGATAATCACAGCGTGCTGTGAACACTGTTAATAGAGACCACTGCAATAGAAGAACATATCATATTTACAATAAAAAAACAGTGAGCAATAGTGACACTGTTAATCTGGATTGACAAGCAGTTCTCCAAATGCAATGTAATGTAAAATCTTTACAGCCAGTTGGGACCCTTCACAGGTTTATACAAGGACTGAATGATGGCTCACAGAGGTCGAGCGGCCTGTGGTTTGTCTCATGGTCCCGCTCCAGAAAAGGCTCAGAGGGGACAGAGCAGCTCAGGAGGGGGAGCGGGGATGAGGGGAGAGTGTGAAGCTCCATATACAGTGATGGGAAGTGATGAGAGGTACAGTGAGGTAAAGAGCCCAGGTGGAAGAATATGATCATAAAAAGCTCTTATAGAAAGCACAACAACAACAAAAAAAAGACTGAGGACATGTAGAAGCCAACTTGCTGTCTCTCTTGGGTGAAAAACTGAGAAGAGCAGAGAGAAAAAATTGTTAAAAACAGCCAGCTGGCAAGGAACATGTGGTGATTCACTGTTCACCATATGATTGTTGATTTTCTAAAAACAAAGGAAGGAGTCTCGTCACAAAGGATTTGTTCTGAAGAAACAACTTTCCCACACAACTGGACACATGATAAACTGGCCTGTGCCATTACAATGGAATATGCCGTAGTGACCACAATCAGTCAGAAACAGACAGGTGGGATTATTTGTACAACATATGAGGTCACTGCTGAATTATAACATCGAGCTACCTGCTCCCCCTCCTGCGTTCGCTGGCTCAGAGGACCAGGGATGTTTTTCTCAATATGACTGTATGGTTAAAGTATTTTAAAAACTAGATGAAACAGTAATATATGGAGATCTTTTACCAGGGGAAACTATTACAAATGGATTGGTTGTGTTGCTAAATTGGGAACATTTCAACAGGGAGCAAATCCACAATCCTTCATACTTGTCTTGCAAACACGTAGTGTGAATCCAAGAGCCTGATTCCTGGAAGTCCATCAAAAGAAGCAGAATCTGACCTTAATGCTCCCAGTTATTCAGAGCAATATGCAGCGTTCACAAATGTTTTCACAGTGCAGTCATTGTAATAGCATTTGTTGGGTTTCTCTCTATAATAATGTAAGGTCTACACTTTGCTACTTTAACAAGATTTTTGTTGTGATTTGGTGCTATACAAATAAAACTGAATTACTCCAGAGTGATAACATATATTCTGCATTTTGCCCATGTGAGACACTGAAGCACACACACATGCAATTGAGCTCATTTTGCTTCATATGAGCAAGTAGCAGCTTTAATAAGTGGTGTTGCCACCTACTGATGAAGTGTAAAACAACAACTTGTTATCCAAAGTTGTGAGTAAGACACCGATGGAGCATGAAATTGTAAAACAAACAGGAGGATCAGTGAGCTTTATTAACTGGAGCAGAATAATGTTTATCCACACCCAGAGGCCAGAGCAGAGCAAGGGCAAAGCATCAAGATAAACCTTATATATAAGAATTTCCTGTTGTATAAAGGATATATACACATTCAATTACCAATTTATTAGGCACACCTCTGAAATTGACTGGAGTCTGTTATAGACCGGATTGTTTGGATACTGTAGTTTGTGGTGCTGTTGAAGTGTTCCGCATTATAAACAGACGTTTCTGCTATTTGGCCTAGCCTCATCAATAAAAATGGAGTGGACAGAAAACACAGAAACAGATCAGATACACAGGTCAACATCATCACAAACAGCAGCATCCCAAGTGGCCAAAGCTGAATCTTTAAAACAATTTCAACAAAAGCTGAACATTGTCACCTTCATGTAGGAGGACTTATTGTAGCACCGTTATTACTTTTAACAAGGTGTACCTAATAAACTGCCAACGGAGTGGATATACGGCTTGAAAATTTATTTACTTCAGCTTCCAATCTCGTTTGAGCAATGTTTCAAAACTAAAAAAATCAGTGTAAGGTACAGTAGGTCATTTCTTTATTGATCATATTCATGTTATACAGTATATATGCCCACACCCAGACATGAGGTTTAAGAACTTTTGCCTGTATAAAAGGTAAAATAACAGTATATCCCTCTGACATGTTCAAAACTAAGGTGAAAAGATTATTATGGTACAAGCAAACTCAGCTTTAAGAACAGTAATTTGATGTACACCTCTTCTGATGATACAGTATGAATGAAAAAACAACATCTCCATAATTGTCAAAATACAGGTATGTGAACATACAGGACAGTACAGTATATATTACACAGTTTGATATAATGACAAAAAAGGTTGAGACTATCAATGAAGACTGAGAAATATAGCAAAGGAGGCCTTTGTATGTTTCATAACAATTTGTCCAAACCCATATTTGAATCTGAATGACCCTGATGAATTCATTATAAATAAATATATAACCTATCCTTACAGTACAATTTATAATCTATAGGAGTAATAATGAATATTTGTCAAATGTAGACCATTTTAAAAGAGGTCCAGTAAAGATCATTATTAAATGTGAAAGACCCAGGTGTTTGTACAGTTAACTGTGTGAACAACAACAAAAAAAAACAAACATTCTGATGTCAGCCATAAGATGTGACGCTATGGAAACAGATGTACATCGACATCCTCTCTCAGGCTATATACCTGTCCCAGAGAGAGACACCTGTTCAGACTCACACCTCAAATCAGTATGCATGTACATGGTGTCCTGAATGATTTAGAGCTCTGCAGTGAGCTGCCCTTTACTCTGGATGACCCTCATGACAGACTGGACCACCTCTGACGTAGTCCCCTGACCCCCAATATCAGCTGTGTGCAACTGCAAAAACAAAAATACAAAGGATGCTCACAAACACATTTATTCCATTTAAGTTAGAACATTACCAAATGCCATGAAGATTTAGCCCTGGTGAATGTCTCCTGCCACATAATGCATTTGTATGGGTGCATTGTGGTTATTAAGTTCCTGTAGGCAATAAATAGCTTCCTGGCATTGAAAAATGAAATGCATATCACATATCATTTGTGCTGTCAAAGCAATATCCAATCTACTGCTGTGGATAATAAGCAGATCAGTTTTTGTAAAACCAGTTATCATGCAAAGTAGTACTTCTCTGAGTTTTGTGATAGTAAAAGGACACAATCCTGCTTTGTGTAAATGCACTGTTATACCCACTAGGAAGGATGCCAGACCTGGCATCAGAGCCTAACAATAATGGCCTGTTAGATGATGGAAGACTTACCCTGGTTTCATTCATGGTAACGAGGACGGCATTCCGGATTAAACTTGCATAGTCATAAAGCCTGGAGGCATACAGGAGAAAGAATTATTTCCATTACTTGTATAGCACAGTCACAACTTTGCATCTCAGATGCAACTTACTTAAGGTGGTCCAGCATCATGCAGCTGGCTAGCAGCATGGCAGTGGGGTTAGCAATATTCCTGTCTGCAATACTCTTCCCTGTGTTTCTGGTGGCCTGAGGGAGCCAGAGGAATAGGCCAAGAAAGAGAAAAAGGCCAAAGTTACAATGCATATACATGAGACAGATATGATTTGTGCATTTTCCATCCTTTAAAAACAGAGGAGATGGTGTCCTGCTAACCAGCACTTGCCAAACACTCACCGTTTCAAAGACAGCATAGTCACGACCATAATTGGCCCCAGGTACAAGGCCAGGCCCTCCCACCAGGCCTGCACACACATTGCTCACCACGTTCCCATACAGATTGGGCATCACCATCACATCGAACTGCTGGGGCTTGGACACCAGCTAAGCACACATACACATATGACAGCAGGAGAATAATTTAGACCTAGAAACATTCACAAACCTTACTTGAAGGCATTAAAAGGTCATCAATCACCTGCATGGTGGTGTTGTCCACAATCATGCTGTCAAATGTGATTTCTGGGTAACCAGAAGCCACTTCTCTGCAACACTGAAGGAACAAGCCATCAGCCAGCTTCCTGTTGGAGCAGAAAGGTCGTACTCAATTTCCAGCACCAAGAAACTGTACGACTCATGAGACCCGATAACTCCAAACTTACATGATGTTGGCCTTGTGTACAGCAGTGACCCTGCGCCGACCTTTCTCCCTGGCCAGTTGGAAGGCATAGTCAGCAATCCTGAGGGAATTGTTCCTGGTGATGATCTTGAGACTCTCCACTACCCCTGATACACTCTAAAGGAAGACAGTGAGGAGAATAACAGAAAAAAAGACAACTAAAGTACTGAACACTACAATGTTGAAAGATGAAAGCAGACTAGAAAGACATATGAAAGTGTGTACATTTTTGTCTTTTTTTTACTTGTAGTTTTAATTTTATTCAGTTTTAAATTGTTGTGCACATCAGGGGCCATTGGGCTGGAGTCAAATTGTATTTTATTGATAATACTAAAGTTTATGCTTATAGAATACAAGAGTGTTTCAGCAGACAGTACAAGTGACTGTGCTTCTGTTTTGTCTGACCTCATGCTCCAGACTGCTGTACTCTCCCTCTGTGTTCTCCCTGATAATCATAATGTCAATGTTCTTGTGGCGAGTCTGAACTCCAGGGAGAGACTGGCAGTGCATCACATTGGCATACAGGTCTAAGCTTGTGCTGTTGATACACACAAACAGGAAAGACATTGGATTAACTATGAACAACATTCAGAAGCAATGTGAACCATCTGACAAAAACAAGCTTAATCCAGGCAGTTTAATATTTCATTAAAGCGCTTACCGAAGGAGATTATTTCTGGATTTAACAGATGGTGGCTTGGTATGATTGGTTTCTATGTTACCTATCAAGAGAGTTTAGCAATGTAACAGTTAAAACTACGTGTCATGGACTTATTATGAACAACATGCCTCTCACAGCTGTGCTCTGATTTTCAGCTCATCATGCTATGTTTATGATGCCGAAAAAAGAGATTTATTTACCTTTAAGGGCAACTCCATTACGGCGGATAGCAGTGATGGCATTATTGATATCATCCTCAGTCTCTGCAGCAGAGTTGACATGCACCACCTCAAAGTCCACTGGCACACAGCTGAACCTACAGCATGCATACAAAGCACGTGATGAACCAATCTTCACGTCTCTAGTCAACATGTTGAATAAGGTTTAGTTTAACTAACCGAAAAACTTCTCTGACATGACTGAGCAGCTCTGGACCAATTCCATCTCCAGGTATGAGTGTCACAGTGTGTCTGCCTCCATACTTTGCAGGAGGGGGCTGTAACATTGGCATTTTACACAATATTAACAGCAATGAATTTAAGGACTTGAGATTTTTATTTGCCATTTATGCATAAACAGACAGTCTAGGCATATAGGAATTCTTGTGCAGCTCTCTTGGAATCAGGTAAAGAGTCAAAAGCCAGAAAAGAACATCTAGTCTGAAAATAAAGTTACGTAACAATGCATTCAAGCTAAAAATGCAATACAAAAAATAAGATAATAGATATTAGATGAGATGGGAAACTTCAAATATTGCACATAGTATTTCACATAGTGGAGTTGGTTATGGTATTTCACTTAGTGAGGTAATAAGGGGTTATTGCACATGTTTCTCACATTTTTGTATTTGCCATCAGTCTTACTGTGGCAGGGAAAAAGCTGTTGTAATGTCTTGTTCTGTGTGTGATGATGCTGTCTGCCCTGTTGTGCCTGAGGTTGTAGGTGCAGTTTTTGTGTCTGAGCAGGATGTGAGCTGGGTGGAGTGAGTCTCTGATTATGTTCTCTGCTCATTTATGACACAGCTGTGTGTACAGTGTGTCCATAGCAGGGAGTTCAGTCCCAATGATCCCCTCTGCAGTCTTTATAACTCTTTGAAGAACCTTCCTCTCTGCCTGTGTGGTGTTACCATACCAGACGGTGAGGATGCTCTCTGCCAGTCCTCTATAAGCCTGCGTGAGAGGGCAACGGTTCACCCCAGCTTTTCTGAGCTGCATGATGAAGTATAGCCACTGCTGGGCTTTCTTCTAGAGTACCACTGGTGATTTTCCACTTTTAACCCATAAACTACAAATCACCAATGTACATATGCATTATTGCTGATATGTTACAATATGTTTCATAATAATTACAATGGAATTACTTAATCAGATACATCCATTATTTGTGAAATAGCTGCAGGTGGAAAATGTCAATCCCAGTTTCAGATTATGTGCAATCAAAAGTTATTCTAAAATGTGATTTTCCCATGCCCATACAGGTACTGTGATGTCCATTACTGTGCAGAAATCTTAAAGCAAGTTAGATGCTTAGATTCTTATTTATCATGAAATACCATCAGGGGATGTGTCTGATCTATACCAAATTCATTCTGCAGCACGACAGCGACCCCAAACATACAGCCAGAGGCATAAAAACCTGGCTTCTGTGACACAAATAAGAAATTCTGCAACTGATTGCATGATCTCGCAGAGCCCTGAGCCCAACAGCCACCATCAAGTCAGTCTGGGAGACAGAAGCCAGTGAGGCAGCCTAAATCCAAAGAGGAACTGTGGCAAGATAGAGACAACAACCTACCCACCAATTACCTTGTAAAACTTTGCACATTACTGCATATCAGTGTTGAAAGTAATTCCTCCGATTACTGTAATAGTATTACCCAACCCCAGATTAATCAAGGAATGTTTGTACTGTGTGAAGAGATGCACCAGGAATATAGAAAACACATGAGAGCTAACTGCTTATAATGTTGTTTCCCTGTAATTGAAGGTGGACAACAAGGACAGCAGAGGGACAGTTTAACAAAGGCATAGAGGAACCTGTTAAAAACAGAGTGGCAAATACAGAGGTATTAAGCTTTACTCCCCAAGGGGATGGGAAAAAAGATAAACACTCCCAGTTTACAACAAAACAATCATAGATACCCAACAACTTCCAAAGTTTAATAAACAACATTAAATACATAAATAGGTGCCAGTGATTTTTATGGCATCACTATCATACTCATTTACTGTTGAAGTGACAATTTAACAAAATCACATTTACTCAAGACTGAAACACACAGAGCCAATCTGATTCACTCACTATACGCGAGGTCATATTCCTGCGACTTGTCAGATTTGTTCCAAATACCTGAAACACAACATAAAAAGAGATTAGAATTATTTTAAGGTTAATGTTCAGGATAAGCTGCATAAAAGATTGAGGTTATGGGCAACGTTAGGTTTAGGTTAAAGTAAGGGGAAACAAACACAACACCACAGAGACCGCTATTCAGCAAAACCTTAAAGCAACCAGCTCTAAGCGCTAAAGGTTACTATCAGGTTTGCTAATTGAACTCTATGATATTAACCATATGGCCTTGTGTACAGATAAAATAACTACGTTTAGTTTTGAATCACACAACAATGTTAACAACTGATATGACAAAATGAACGTTCTTTGCCTCACTTTAACCGTATTTCCAAGGCGTCCACCCCAACAACGATTGATGAGTTTAGACATCCTGAAAACAGCACTGTGAGAAGCCATCTTGGTTTGAAACGGTACTCGCGTGGACGAGAATATGTACTCGCGCGTTACTTCCACGTTGGTCGATTTAATTAATTAATTAACTAATTAATTAATTAATTAATTTGTTTGTTTGTTTAGGATGGAGTGGCAACGTTTGTAACAATGTAAAGATGGGATATCGTGATTTATAATATGCCGGTGGTTAATGGTGCATTCAGGTCATATCGTTTAAATGGTCATTTCGAGGACCCCTGTGGGAAAATTCTATTCACCTCAGCCTCTTGTAAATCTGAGACGTAAATATTGGGAATTGGTGACAAAGACAGTACCTCCCAGTTGGTGAAAATGACTAAAGACATGTTAATAAACTGTTGGAAGAATAGCTGGAGATATGATTTTAAAAAATCCCAATAATATACTCAATTCGGCTCAATTTATTCGATCTACACACTCTTGCATTTGAGTTCACTTAGTAATTGACTGCTACAGAGCAAACGTAGCTTAGTTTTTCTTATGTCAATGTAAGGTGTTCCCCTGTCATCGTATTTTTCCGACGTTACCTAAATACAGCATGAAATAAAATCTGGTCACATGGATCCCTTCACGCAGACTCTGTATACACAGCACAGACGGGTTTGGCAATAGACGGAAGACATTCATGGGTTAAGTATATAGGGTTAAGATAATCATAAGCGGTTTTTCTATTTATGCGTGTCGAATGCGCAGTAGCAAAACTTCGACTGAATATTTTGGGCTCAGTCTGTCTTCTCTCTGAAAGCTGGGGTTGTCCCTCGATGAGCAAACAGCGCAAGAAATAGTCAAGTCCCGAGTGGCAGGAGCAACAGCTCTTCTCTTCCAGCAGAGAAGAGCCAGTACCCGCTTGTAACGTGGATATAGTAGGTAAGATCTGCCCCTTCCAATTCTAAAGTACATACACGCCATTAAATATGTTGTCAAAAAGAATTATCCTTTATTACCTTAACTGTGCTATGGTTTGGGTTCATGTCATCTCTTCAAACGTCTCTCTTCAGAGCCATCTTGTATGACCATTGTAAGCGATTTACAGCTTTTTGTTTAAAATGTCATACCAATCTTTGAATAACATTAATCACAATTCTGTAATTACGAATGTTATTATTTTAATGGTGTTTAAATGGCTTGTTCAGAAATACAGTTTTCTACCATATTCAAAGTCTAAAATAGTTAAGTGTAGTGAGCGGGTCGTTTCCCAACCGGAGGATTAGCGGTTCGATTCCCGGCTTGTCCAGTCAACATGTCGAGGTGTCCTTGAGCAAGACACTGAACCCCCAGTTGCTCCTGGTGATGTCACCGGTGTGTGAATGCGTGAGTGCTTGGGAGTGCGAATGGGTGAATGGCCGAATAATGATTTGATTTGATTTATTCTTTCAAACATGCAGAACAATGACACCAACACACACATAATTACACAAATCCAACCAATACTAATCCAGAATCAGTTTGCTTATACCTAGTACATGTTTGAATGGAGTAGGAAGAAGTCAGACTTATCCAGT